GGGGGGAAGGAGGTAAAAAAAAATTATCCTGCAGTTGCTGCTCTACTCATACTGAATAGGAAGATACGGATCCTTATTTGGAATCCCATGAACTGCCTTTCTCTTTCTGCACTTTACTGGTGCCTTGCTCCTGTGGGGGTGGGGGGGGGGGGAAGGAGGTAAAAAAAAATTATCCTGCAGTTGCTGCTCTACTCATACTGAATAGGAAGATACGGATCCTTATTTGGAATCCCATGAACTGCCTTTCTCTTTCTGCACTTTACTGGTGCCTTGCTCCTGTGTCAGCCTGAAGGTGCAGTAATTTCCAAAATGTATAGTGCCACAGGGATTACTAGTTACAAGAGAGGATGCAGTAGATCTTGAGAAGTCATCAATGTTGGATGCATCCATGATCATTGCAGGGAGAACAAATATGGCATTCCTTCTTCTTCCCTCTCTCGATAAATGGGCCATGACACCATCCTAGGAAAAGGAGGAAGGGTGCACCAGGATTGTCTGATCCAGCCCATACAACATCTGACAGTCATGTAGGGCTCCAGAATCTTCACAACTACCTAGAAGTCACTGTCCTAACACCTGAGTTCTGACCAACTCAGCATGGGAAGAACGAGATACAGCAAGACACTATTAATTAAGGCAACCATACTAATAAGTTGGATGTCTGTTAGTTTTGCATAAATATTATAAAAATACATTGTTTGTTGCATTGATGTTATACTACTGGATTTGAGACAGAAGTGGCAACATGGGAAAATGGACAAGCCTTTTTAGAAACCTTTGGGTGACTTAGGTTGGAGGAGCTCTCCCCCTTTCCCCCCACATTAACTTTCTTTCATTCTTGTAGGTAGCTGTTGCATTTACAAGCAAAGAGGTTTACTTTGCTGAGCTGAATTCCAAACAAGGGTTCTCTTGTCAGTACAGACTTCAGGGCCTGGAAGGAACAGTGATATGCATGAACTATTGGTGTAATCCTCATGACGGAAATGAAGCCATTTTGACTCTGGGGGATGTCTGTGGGCAGGCAAGTACAGCACAAAATCTAGCAATACTTTATATCAAGTCAGATCATCAGTCTTCCTTGACTGCAGTGACTCTCCAGAGGCAGGTCTTTCCTAACATCTGCTCCTTGAAATCATTTATATTAATAATGCCCAACATGTCACCCATGGTGTCTGCTAGTGGATTTCCTAGCACCCATTTACTTCTTCCCCAAGGCAAACAGCCACTCATGGCTTTCCTCCACAGGGAGGAGCTTCAGAAAAATCCAAGAGGCATCACCTTTGCATTTCCAGAGAGCACTAATTTGGAAATGGCTGCTTTCATCATAGGAGGGAGGCTACACTTGTTATATCTCAGACCCAGAACTTTATGGCAGTCATTTTGTGAGGGTTCCCACCTCCTGTTGTCAACATTCCAGAAGTGCCACCTGGCTCACCAGTAGGATTGCCAGCCTCCAGGTTGGGCCTGGAGATCTCCCACTTTTACAACTGATCTCCAGTTCCCCTGGAGAAAATGGCTGCTTTGGAGGATTGACTGAATGGCATTGTAGCCTGCTGGGGTCCCTCCCCTCCCCAAACTCTGCCCTCTCCAGGCTTCACTCCCCCAAATCTCCAGGTATTCCCCAACTCAGAGCTGGCAACCCTAGGATCTCAGCTCTACATGGAGATCCTGGGGACTGAATCTAAAATGGACCTTCCACTCAAAAAAAGCACTGCAGGGCCTGAACCAGGGACTGTCTATTTGCTCCCCTGGGGCTGCTAAGTATACAGTGATGAAGCCTTCCATTGTACAAGTCTTGGATAAGCTGGGGAATGAAAAATTCTGCACAAAAGTTCAGCAATCCAGTTTAGACAAAAAGACACCATGCAAGAAACGTATGATGAGGATCTTCTAGGGTTTCTTTTTAAAGCCCAAAAGAGCCTCAGGGGGTATCAGTTTGGATTGGGGCCATGGCACAGGGGGCAAATTCTTCAATACTTTTCCTTGGAGAGGGACCCAGAACATTTTAAAGACATGCTAGTCACCATTACCAAAGCAATTTAGAGACTGCTCGTTGCTCAGTGGTAGAGAATGTGGTTTGCAAGCATCTCAGCCTCAATCCTTTCAACTAAAAAGATCCCAGATCAGAGGGCTTGGAGAACTATTGCCATTCAAAGGAGACAATACTGACTCAGAGGGAAAGGCCTGAATCAAAATAAGCCATCTTCTTATGTATATTGTGGAACACATTTTCAGACTTGAAAGGGATGTGGGAAATCATTGATCAGGCCTCCTGACTTTTTATGCTAACTTAAAAGCAGTCATGCAGGGCTCCAAATTGAAATGGAGCAGCAGTAGTCCCCTGACCTGGATAGCCCAGGCTAGCCTGATCCTGTCAGATCTCGGAAGCTAAGCAGGGTCGGCTTTAGCTAGTATTTGGAAGGGTGACCTCCAAGGAATACCAGGGCTGCGATGCAGAGCCAGGCAATGGCAAACTACCACTGACATGTTGCTTGCCTTAAAAACAAGTCTTGCTCACCACCTAGTGGTGCATAATGCTTAAAGAGCTAGAACTTCTGACTGCCAGACAGTCTTAGGATCTCCTAGCTATTCTACACACAATGCCACGCAATAATTATAATAATTATTAATGTGTGGGAACAGAAGCTGTTGACTTTCTACACCACCATTTTCTCAATCTAATTTCTCTCTCCCTACTAAGGTCTAAGTGTCACAAACAGCACTATGTTTGCAGAATGGAACCTTCCCACTTTCTGTTTCCTGCTATAGCCTGCTGTTCTTCTTAAAATTCAGCTGGTGGGGGAGCAGATATCAGCAGAGCCTTGGAAACAGTTTTGAGGGGGGTCTTGAAGAGGGAGTGGGAATTGGCAGAAATCTTGTGTGAGCAGAAATGTCCCTTCCACAACAACACTGTAGTGTTGATCTAACTCAGAACTTCCTCTGGCTGCTTTTCTTAGAAATGAAAAATCTCTCTTGTGTGTATCTCTTGGCCCTCAGAAGTCCAGGTCTGGAGAGATTTTGAAAGTGGAAGGAGTCGTAGGATCCAGCATGCTAAATCTCCACCTACATTTTTAACCCCAGCATAGTGGGAAAACACAGTAGGTTGGGTCCTATTAACCATGAGCAGAAAGTGGCTTGGGGACATGGACCTATTGCACCTCTTCCTTCTCCCAGAAGCCTCCTGAGATATCTGAAAAGATGATGCTATGAAAAGTTGATGCTATGAATGAAATAATATAGGACACATGAGGATGTATGGAAGAGGAATTCAACAACACCTTTCCTCTTTCTTCCATTGGTGGAGTTTCTGCTACTCCAAAAGGCTCAATCTCTGCAAGAGGAAAGTGGAGAGATTATCACCAATACCCCATGTGTTTTAGTTTATGTCCATGGCGCAGCCCATGACTTCAAGCACCAGCTTTTCTGAGATCTTGGGATGTTACTGAATGTGTACGTGTGGGGGATGCGGAACAAAAATGCCGGTAGCTCATAATTCATAGAATCCAACAGACTGTGTTTTCCCACTGTGGGGTTAATAGTTTGGGTGGATACTTGTGATGGGGAGATTAATCCATGTTCTATCACTGCTGTGGCTTTGCTTTAATTCAGATCCAGCTGTGACCACTTCTTTTAGAGACGAACATATTAGGAGATGCTCTTCCAGATCTCCTGTGTGTGTCCTTTGTCATTTGGTCATCAGAAGTCTGGCTTGGGTGAGGCTTCTTCCCCCTGTAAAAATACAAGTCTATTGTATCTCACTTCTCCGATTCATATTCATGAATTCCACAAAACTCTTTCTAGCTGTCCAAGGTTTTGCTCCCTTCATTTCCCTTTAGATTGGGTCATCCTCCTCTTTGTCAAATTCATACCCTTGCCAAGCTATACATATTGCCAAGCTATACCTATTTAACCGATGTCCATTGTCCCTTCCTAAGCAAATCCCAGCAGCCTCATTAATGAAAATAGCCATCGCAGTGGCTATGAAATTTAAATGCCTGCACGTTATGAATTTATAACAAAGTAGAGGCTTTGTACGATAGTCCGGCTATTGCCTTCAGTAATAGGTTGCTTTGAAATGTCGAGAGTGGTAAAAAAAAAACCTGCTTTAAAAAAATTATTAATTCTTTCCCTCCCAGGTTCAAGCAATTGTCTTCAACACAGCCCTGATCTCATTGTTTGAACGACCTTCCAATTCCCAGGAAGATGAAAATGTGACAATGACAATTAATTGGCAAGAGCTGGTCTCTGGATATCACAGATGCTGCTATGTATTACAGCACAGACTTCATGACAAAGAATGGGTTAGACAAGGTACTGGACCTGAGAAACAATGCAGGGAGGGGGCTTTGAATCCTCTGCAACAGCCTTTTGCTGTCTATTGTGGGCACGGGGTAAAATATTAAAACGAGGGATGTCCTGCACTTCTTCTTGGATTCTGGAACTCTTAGCCCCAGCAGCTCATAATTGAAGCCAGACCCTGTAACTTCTCTGAACTTCTTATTCACTATCGGTATTTATACCCTGCTTTTCTTCCCAATGGGGACTCAGAGCAGCTTATAATATTGTTATCCCCTCCTACACTTTATCTTTGCAACAACAACCCTGTAAGGTAGGCTACATCGAGAGAGTTTGCCTGTCCCAAGCTTGCTCAGCAAGTTTCCAAGGGAGTGTGGGGCTTCAAACTTGGGTATCCCAGATCCTCGTTGTTGTTATTGTTGTTGTTATTTGTTCTTACACCACCCTCCATGTGAGGTGGGTTCAGGGCAGTGTACAGCAGGTTAAAAACAGATGACATAATAATTTAAACTGTTAAAATCAAGAGCTACGAGACAACAAGTTCCCAAAGCCTAAGGTGCCATAATTTACAGATTTCATAACCCCGATCAGCAGGGGAGGGAGGAGAGAGAGAGAGGAGGACAAACCATACCATTGCTCTCTTCAACCATTGCTGTTGGGCACTCTTACCACTACAACACTAATCTATTTACTTTTGTGGATAGATTTATATACCACCTTTCTGCCATTGTTATTCTTTGGCATGGAGTTACAGGGCTCTTTTTGTAGAAAAAGCACAGCAGGAACTCATTAGCATAATAAGCCATACCCAACAGCAGAAACCCATTAGCATATAAGGCCCCGCCCCTGATAGCACAGCTCATTAGCATATTAGGCCACAACCCCATGTTACCAGAAGTGTGGTCATCCAGCCACACCCACCTTTTGCTTCTTATTCTGTTTACCTTGTTTGTTGTCAAAACCCAGGGGTTTTTTTTGTAGCAGGAACTCCTTTGCATGTTAGGCCACACACCCCTAATGTAGCCAATTCCAATGAGATTCTGCTGTTGGGTGTGACTTGTTATGCTAATGAGCTGCTGGGCGTGGCCAACTCAGGAGCCAGCCGGAACTCTGTTCCTGTGCGTTCCTGCCCAAAAATAGCCCTGATATACACCTACCAAAGGAGGGGAAGCACTTCTACACATAGTTGATTCCTCTCATTCCTTCCATTGATTCCATCCAGTGACAACTTCTCTGATGTAATGACATTTCCATCTGTAGAGGAGGGGAGGGAGATTTTTTTTGATAATTCCCCCTTCTACTGCTGACTCTGTTTGGCTCTCCCACACTGTTCCTGGGGTCCCCTGAATTGTAGGAGCACAATTTTGGAGGGCACAGAACAGGATTGTCAGGCCTCCTGCTGGCAACCTAACTCTTCTGGCTGCTGCTCAGAGCTGTAGCAGGAGAAAATTAAACAAACAAATAGCTGTTGGGGCAAGGGCATGACACACCACCTCCGGGTTTCCCCCAGAAGGGACATCACACCGTTGCTGATGGCACTTGGGTTGCTGACAGGGGGGACTGGATGGTACAAAATCCCCGGGGCACAGGTCAGGAGGGCCCAATGCAGTTGGAATAATCCAACGCACTTCCATTGATTATACTTTAAGTGCAGTTCTGCGCTTCAGCCACTAGTGATGTAGGCAAGGCAGAACAGAGAAAACAAACAGATGGTATGACTTACTGGTGCTGTCTGCCACCATTTTTAGCAGCTTTTGTCTTTGGAAAACTTTCTGTGGCTGCAAACTATGAGCCTGAGGCTAACATTTACCTATCACAAGATATTGCTGAGCCTATCAACCAACCTGGTTTGCCTTAATTTCTTTTCCCCACCGTCACCTAATTTTTTTGTTTTTGTCCCTCCTTCCCAGGCTCATTCCGTCTCCTCCCTCCCCTGGCTGGGGAGTTATAGCATATTTGATAGCAGAACAGAAAACCTCTGTTCGTATGAACCATGTGTGTATGTGAAGTTAATATTCCTCAGATATCTAGCAAAGTAGTGAAAGGGTGATACCCCCCCCCCACACACAAACACTTTACATACATTGTGATATTATTAATATGTATTGCAGGTTATAACCATGGAATAGTGGATGCCTTCATTTCAGTATGTATCGAAGCAAACAGTACTCTAACTTAGAGAGGTGACTGTAATTTGTATTTGTGGTTTTAGAATCCATCTTGTTTTAGACTTAGTTAAAGTACATGTGAAGTCTGAGATTAGGAATTAGAACAAGAAGTGTATCCTAAATTGGTAGCAAATATAAAATTAGAAAATCAGACACAAGGCCAAACAGAGAACTATCAAGAGACAAGGGTGTGCACACTGAGTATCTGATACAGAGAATCCTCAGGGCTGATACAAAGAGAACAGGGGAGATTTGAGAATCTCTAATAAATAGAAGAGGAGGGCATTTTTGGCAGGAACAGCTTGGCTGGAACAAGGTCAGCCCGTGCTTCTTCTATACAGTTATGAATGCTTATATGGAGTTATAAGCTATATAAGAACAGAGGCTTATAAACTACTGAATGGAGTAAAATAGGTTCTTTAACAATCCTGTTCCTTTTCTTTTAATATCTCCTACCTAATGAACAAATAGTACTCTGTTCACAGTAACAGAAAGCCAAGTGATTTGTTTTGTTATGATATCTGTTTTGGATCAGGGTCATGGGGGCAGGACCAGATGGAATTTTTGTCAGGGGGCCCATGGTGGCTCTCGGCAGTAGTGGATGGCGCCCCCTCATGTCTGCAGCCCCAAGACTTGTGCAACCTTGGAACAAAAGGATGCAGTGGGAAGGAAAGGCATGGGAATAGCATGGCTCCACTCGCGCTAATTAAGACCCAAGCCTAAGTACCTGCTTTAATGCCCTGCTCCACACATTGAACACATTCATTTACAGTCTCTTTCATACCCAAACTCATTGCCAAGCAGTTTAAGCTCTGAAATCAAAACCGCAGATTATCACAATTGTTCCGAGATCTAAGCCCGTGTCATGTCTCATGAAGATCGGCTCTTTAATTTTAAAAATGATAAAGTGTTCTGCATGCATGGCATACCTCTAACTATTCAGGTCTGGATAATTGATGGGCTTCTTAGCCTGATGGGAAAAAGAGCTCCTTTTTCTGCCACAACAGGGCTCTGGCCTTATATAAAATTCAATAGCAGAACCTCACTACTGGGGTTGCCAGACTTCACTCCTCCCCACCCATCTTGTAATCTTCCCCTTAAAGTGGGATCCCCAGTTTAATTTCCACTTATTTTAAGAAGTGAGTGGTGACTCATGAAAACTCATATTGAAATAAGTGTTGTTAGTCTTTGCGGTGCCCCCGGAGTTTTGTTTTATTTTGCGACCAGAGACGAACACGGCTATGCCTTTGAAGACCAAAGACATGTCCTGCCAAGATTCGTTGAGGGGGCCTCTGGAGCAATTGCCCATTTCCTGATTGGAGAGGTGTTGGAGGGAGCAAAGTAGTAGAGTTACCAGCCTTAAGGTGGGGCCTGGAGCTCTCAACCAATCTCCAGAGATCAGTTCCCTTGAAGGAAACGACAACTTTAGAGGTCAGACTCTATGGTATACTATAGAGTCTAGGACAAGATGACAGTCCTTGATTCCCATCGCATCCCTGCTGAGCTCTCTCCCCAAATCTCCAGGAATTTCCCAAGCTGGAGTTTGCAACCCTATGAGAGCAGCAACTATTTCTGGCTCCTGTTAGCCCTTCTGGCACTGATCCCAGGCAAGTGCGTAGGGTGTGTGAGTGCATATGAAGCAGGGGAACAGGGGAAGAGGTGTCAGCAGCATACCTAGCGGAAGACTGCTGGCTGGCATCTTGCCCAGAGAAGGCTGCGAGGTGCCTAGCATCCCCATCCCAGAGGCTCATGGGATAAGGTCTGGCAGTGTCACAATGAATAGTAACAGTAAGGCAGCTCTTCTACTATATCCCATTGTATCTGTGCATTAGTATAGCCACAACCATGTGGCTTTGGAAAGATTGAGAATTTACCGCAGAAACTATTTTTTTTTTAAAAAGAAAATTGAAGATAACTATGAGCTAAACATAAAATGTAGACCAGCTCTTAGTGCCAGATTATTGTCCGCCATCTCCAGCCTACTGGCACAATAGTTATCACAAGCAGATGTATATAGGAGTCTTAAAGGAAGCCTTAAAGAGTGTGTAGGGTTGCCAAGTCCATCTTCCACCCCCAGCGGGGGACTTTGGGGGTGGGGCATCCCCAACGTGATGACGTCACATTGGGGACGTCGCCCCCCCCCCCCCGCCTGTGCGCCGGATCTCCAGAAATGGCAGTTCTCTGCACTTAAAGTAGCCGGCAGCCGGCATTTCCCCTTTAAGAGCAGCTGCGTTTCCCTTTTAAGAACGAAGCTGGCATTTCCCTGCAGCTTGTGGAGTTCGCGCTTGGGATGAAACACGGGTTGCACACACTTAAAGGGAGAGAGATGGGTGGCTGTGGGTGTTGGGGGTGGGGCTTCCCCCACCGGCCATCTGGCCGGCAGCAGGTAGAACCCCCCCAAAACGGGGGACCCCTGGCAAACCGGAGGGTTTGGCAACCCTAAGCGTGTGGGTGAATGGAACACCCTGAGATTTCAAGCTGCTGTCCTGAGCAGGGATGGGCATGGACCAAAGAAGGCTTCCCTTCCCCCTTTCTCCTGGCTGTGTCTTGCCTCAGCCAGGAGAAAGGGGAGCCATCACCCAGGAAGAGGCTTCCCTTCTCCCTTTCTCCGGGCCACAGTGAGCTGCAGCCAGAAGAAAGGGAGGGGGATACCCTGGAAAGGGACTTTCCTTCTCTCTTTCTCCTTGCCATGACGAGCTGCGGCCAGGAGAAAGGACTGCCCAGAAAGGGGGTTCCCTTCTCCCTTTCTCCTGGTTGTGGTGAGCCATGGCCAGGAGAAAGGGAGGGGGGATAGTCAAGGAAGAGGCTTCCCTTCCCCCTTTTTCCTGGCTGTGGGATCGTCCCAGA